AGAGTGTAAAAGGCATCCACCTGGCACGGCACGCCAGCCCTGCACATGCACCGCCCTGTGCTAAGGATGAGAGCTTCCTTAAATATGTCACCCTGGGTGCCTCTTCAGACTCCCCCGAATCCCAGGCCTGTTCCCATTCCTTCCTTATCTAACTCAAGCCTCCCTCGATGCAGGCAACAGAAATCTAACATGTACTTATGTGTGGGGAAAAAACAAAAACAACAGTTTTTTCTCCTACTGTACTCTACTCTCGCAACACAACACAGAGCACTTCTGTGGCAGGTGTGTGTTGGTTTCCCCCACCAACAAGCAATTCTGCGGCACATTCTCCAGCAGACACCAGCTGGGTGTCCTCCAATTCAGTTCACTTATGACACTATCTACCTGGGGATAGCATCAGATACCACAGAGGGCTCAGTCACACAGGACTGTCTCCCATTTCAGATGCCAGTCACAAGTCCAGGCCTCTGGAATGTCTGACCCAGCAGCTATCAATTGGAGTTCTCATGACCTCCTGCCTGGTTTGATTAATTTATTAGAGTGGCTCACAGAACTCAGGGAAATGCTTTACTTACACTTATCCATTTATTACAAAGGATATTTTAAAGGATACAAATGAATAGCCAGATGAAGAGATATACAGGGCAAGACATGTGGGAAGGTTGCAGAGCTTCCATGTCCTCTATGGGGTATACTATCCTCCAGGAAACTCCATGTATTCAGCTACCCAGAAGCTCCTGGAAGCCCTAAACCAAGTCCCGTGGGGTGTTATGAAAGCTTCCTTATGGAGGCACGATTGATTCAATCATTAGCCATCAGTGATCGGCTATCTATCCTTCAGCCTCTCTTCCCTTTCTGGAAATTGGGGCATGGGGCTGAAAAGCCCCAACCGTCTAATCATGCCTTGATCTTTCCTGTGACCTGTCCCCATTCTGAAGCCACCTAGGGGATCCCAGCCACCTGCCATCTCATTAGCATAAAAGAGACACTCCTGAGATTCCCAGGGTTTTAGGAGCTATATCCCAGGTCACTGGGCCGAAGATCAAATATATATTTTTTATTATAAATCACAACATCACAACACACTAAGCAAAAGGCTGAATTTCTTGTCTCATATAATAAAAGCACAGGAAGAGCAGGAGAGGAGAAGGGCTTAGAGGCTCCTGGAACCTGAATTCCAATATTACTGGAACTTTCTCTCTCTTCTCCATTTCTCTCTGCATCATTGTTTCAGACCAGCTTGCTTCATGCAGCAGGAGACAAAACTGCCTACAGAGAAAGCGACAGGAAACTTTCCTGGGTCTCCCCCATGCTCAGAGGCATCATCTTTCACCTTCTGTATGTCTCAGGACAGTTGCTAAGATCGCCCAGAGGGCAGCGGGGGCCTGCACCCTGCGGAGGTGTGCAGAGCTGCTCCCAGAACACCTGCCCCAACTAAGGCAGGGGCGCCCCGGGGGCTGTGGGGACCTCAGCTGAGATGGAAAGGAACACCTGGCATGCTTTCAAAGGTGTGCTCCCTCGGGAGGGAGCAGAGTGGTAGCAGCAGGTCCAGAGCTTCACAGGGCGTTACTTCTCTCTGAGACTGCAGGGGCCAGAGCGACTCTGAGCTGCCCCGTGGTCCCAGAGGATTTACGGACAGCAGAAGGAAAGCAACAGTGGGAATGAGGTTCGGAAACAGCTGGATTGGCTACAGCTTGGCGTTTGCCTTATTTGAACGCAGTTTGAACAGCTGGCCCCCTCTGATGGGCCGGAATCTGGTGATTGGCGCAAGAGCAGGTTACGGTCTGTTTATGTGGAGAAACCTTTAGGCTTAACATACGTAAGGAAGCAGCTTTAGGCTAAACTGAATTTAACACAACAAACATTTATTCCTCACAGTTCTGAAGTCTGAAAAGTGCAAGATCAAGGTGCCAAGGTGCCAAGGTGCCGGCAGATTTGGTGTCTGGTGAGGGCCCGTATGCTGGTTTCCAGGCAGCTGCCTTCTCATTACATCCTCACAGGCCGGGCTCCACCCTCAGGACCTAATCAACTCCCAAAGGCCCCACCTCCTAATGCCATGACCTTGAGGATTAGGGTTCACTGAATTTTGGGGGGACACAAACATTCAGTCCATAAGACAGTAGCAGGCAGGCAATTCTGATGCTGCTGGCCTGGGAGCCACACTTGGAGAACTTCCATCCTCATGCAAGCCTGTTCAGCCCTGGCGACACTCTAGAATCACCAGGGAGCTTGCAAACCCCCCAAGATTCCAAACTGAGGGGGTTTGGGTATGGGTTACGCATCAGCTTTTCTTTTTAAGCTCCCTGTTTTCCCCATGTAGTTCTAATGGCTCTGAGGGGCAAGGAACAGTGCTCACAATGTCCCAGTTAGGAGACCAGGGGTCCCGTCAGCTCAGCGACAATCTAGCCCAGCTCCCGTGCTCAGCTCAAAATTTTCTCTCCTGGGTCCCCTCTCTCAGCCTCATCTTACTTTCTCTACCTCAGCTACTTCTTGCTGGCCATGTCAGGGTCCTGTGACTCCACCACCAGAAATCTCAGCCCCACGGTCCAGGCAAAGGCTGACTGAGGTGGGAGGTTGGTCCTGGCTGGGTCTCCAGTCCTAATCTTTGTGTTGGGCTTCGGAGCCAGGAGCCCCACCGCTGACATTGCATGACCCCTGGGCTCCAGCTGTGCCCTGACCTGGGCCAGCAGTCCTCTGCCTCAAGGTGTTGACTCACCCTCAGACTTGCCCCAGTGCCTGCCCCCTCCTCCAGCTCGAAAGCCTGGCCTCAGCCTCCTTCTAGCCCCTCTGTGAGCCCTGGCATGTGCTAGGCAATAATTTACAACACCAGCGAGACACTGAGAGATAAAACCTGGCATTTAAATTTCAGAAAGGGCCCCTCCTTACCCTTTGATGTTCACAACACAAACAGATCATCAAAGGGTATAATATGTACCTTAGCCCCTGGGCTCCTTCAAAGAAAAAAATAGTCCAATGCTGAAACGCATCATTTCTAATTATAGCCTTTGCCAGCCTGCGGATACAGTGAAAAGTACGCCTCCCCCCCTCCTCGCTCAACACCTTGCCCCTCCCCTGCCTCAGACTCCGGCTAGCCCCCGGCCCACCCACTGCTCCACTGCTTCTTCCCTGAGACCCCTCCAGTGACACAGCTGGACCCTTAGGAAACAAGTATGGTCAACTTCCAACTGCCCCCAGGCATGGGGGTGGGGAATTTTTTTTCTTTTAAATAATTTCTAACATATTTCCAACTCCCAGCACTTTTACTATATTGCCTGGAACATCTCCAGGCCAAGTTCATCTCCTTCTGCATTAGGACACGAAGGCCACACTGCTGTAGCAGATACATGCCCAAATCTCAGAGGCCTAACCCAGTAAAAGTTTCCTTTCCACTTGCGTAAAGTCTGACACAAGCAGAGCATTCCTCCTCCATCTTGAAGCTACGCCACCTTGAAACTGTGGCCTCCGAGGTCACTGTGTCATCGTGTGAGAGGAGGACAAATGGAGCAGGAACACTGGCTCTTAATTGCTTTGGTCAGTAAGTGGCACCTGTCATTTCCACTCAGTCCACTGGCCCCCAACCAGTCGTGTGGCCCCAGCCTGACGGTAGGAAGCCCCTGGAACTCTGGTGTGGCTCGGGGAAGGGACACTGCCTTCATGGCATTGCTCTGGATCCCCCTGTAAGATCGGCGTTTGGGGGCTGTGCAGCTGCTAATTCTCCACTCACCCCTCAGATCCACACTCTGTCCTTCTGGGACCTGGAACCTGCTCGATTTCTCTGCCCTTTGATTTCCAGTCGGGCATGGCTCAGGGAAGATGGACGCTGGAAAGTCAGCAGCAGGGATGGGGAGCTGGAGGAAAGGGAAGAAGGCTCTGTTCCTCCCACTCTCCCCGCTGAGCCTCCGTGTGTCAGTGGCTGTTCCTCTTCCTCCAGCTACAGCTTCACTCCCTCATTCCCTGTGGCTCCCACCAGATCCCAACCCCACTCCCTCCCCTGCCGCTCCCGCCCCTGCTGTGATAGTGCCTACCTGCTTCACCCCAGCCTCAGAAAATAGTGTCTTCATCAACTTCTTTCATTTGCATTTGAATGAACCATCTTTCCACTCGGTGTGCCTGCTCATCTCTCTTCCTCTCACACGACAGATCAGGGAGCAGGACTGTTCCCCAGCATTGCCTCAGTGATGGCACCTGCCAACACGAGCGGGGCAGTGGCGGGCGCTAAGCACTATTCTAAGCTCTTTGCCTATATTGGCAAATTTATTTTATTGACTGATTAATTGATTGAGACAGGATCTCACTCTGTTACCAGTGCAGTGGCATCATTGTAGCTCACTGCAACCTCAAACTCCTGGGCTCAAGCAATCCTTCTGCCTCGGGCTCTCAGCTACTTGGGAGGCTGAGGCAGGAGGCTTGAGCCCAGGAGTTTGAGGCTGCTGTGAGCTAGGCTGATGCCATGGCACTCACTCTAGCCTAGGCAACAGAGTGAAACTCTGTCTCAAAAAAAAAAAAAAACAACAAAAAACTCTAGGTCTGACAATACCCTCCCAGGCACTGCATTAGTTGGGATACAGAGATGGCTTATACACAGTCTGTCCAAAAGAAGTGGAAATAATGCTTAAGGGATAGAATAGTAAAGTTCTTGGTAGAGCAATCTCTCTCTCCATCCCTCCTTCTTACCTTGTTTCTCCCTCTTTTTTCCTCTGCTCTTTCCTTAGGGCTTTGTCTCCATATTTTTTAATAATCCCCAGAAGACAGAGTAACTGAGACTATAGGTATGTGCAACCACGCCTGACTAATTTTTCTACTTTTTGTAGAGACAGGGTCTCACATGTTGCTCAGGCTGGTCTCCAACTCCTGGTCTCAAGTGATCCTCTGGCCTCGGCCTCCCAAAGTACTGGGATTATGGATTAAAGGTGTGAGCCACTGCATACGGCCTATCCTGGCAAATTTAATCCTCTTGATTACTCTTTAAGACTGATTCTATTATATTCCCCAATTTTCAGATAAAGAAACCAAGAAACAGAGATGATAAGTAACTCGCCTAACATGAACAGCTGTGAATGAGAACACTTGGATTTGCATCCAGGCAGTCTAGCTCAGAGGCCTTGCTCTTGCCGTCTGTCTTGCTATGCCACCTTCCCACCCACTGGTGAGAACCTCTGCTATTTTATGGTTAAATAATACATTTTTTAGCTCCCCAATTCAGCAAAGTATTGCTTTTTGTTATGGGTTGAAATGTGTTCCCCTCAGAATATGTTAAAAGTCTTTCAGAATGTGCCTTTATTTGGAAATAGAGTGGTTGCAGATGTAATTAGGTAAGCTGAGGCCACACTGGAGTAGGGCGACCACTAATCCAATATGACCAGTGTCCTCATAAGGGAGAAATTCGGACCCAAAGACAGATGCACACGGGGAGAACAGAAGCGGACACTGGAACGATGCATCTACCAGCCAAGGAATGCCAAGGGCTGCTGGCCATCACCAAATGCAGGGGGGAGGCATGGAACAGATTCTCTCTCACAGCCCTTAGAAGAAACCAAGCCTGCTCATACCTTGATTTCAGACTTCCAGCCTCAGAGATATGAGGCAATAAACGTGTGTCATTAGAGCCACTCAGTTTGTGGTACTTTGCTATGGCAGCCCTGGGAAACAAATACATCCTTCCTCACCATGGTTACTGCCTGTCTCCTTGCCCCTGCAGCCCCGCTGGCCTCCTTGCCTTGCCTGGGGGTTCTAAGCGAGTTCCCACCTTAAGGTCTTTGTACTCACTGTACCCTCTTTCTGGAGTCATTTCCTTCTACATGTTCACACGGCCCTTTCCTTAATAATACATTCTGATGGGTTTGGACGATTTAAAGAACACGCTCACCCTTCAGAGACTCTGTCCCTCTGGGAAATTACCGAATTCTGCCTGATATAAAAGCAATATCTATAAAAAGCAACACCTAAAATCTCCACAAATACTCACTAGAGGAAGGCAAGCCCACTGCAAACACATCGCGGAGGAGCACAGATGCCGGAGCCAGATTGAATTGGCCTCCCCACCTTCGCTTTTCTGATTGTCTGTCGCACTGCTGCATGTCAGAAACCGACTGTCTGGGATTGGCAACTATACAATATGTCTATCAGAAAAGCCCTTGGCCTCCAGAATTTGTAAAGAGAAGCCAGTAATGAATATCTCGGTACACTTGAAAAACACAAAACCCTTAAGAAACTGACAAACCCGATCAGGCTGTAGCAGGGAGCAGTGTTAAAGATAATGAATCAGGCTGACATTAGGGAAATGCAAAACCACAAGGAGGTGCCACCTCACACCCGTTAGCAGGGCTACTATAAAAACAAAACAACAAAAACCGGAAAGTAACAAGTGTTTGCAAGAATGTGGAGAAATTGGAACCCTTGTACAGTGTCGGTGAGAATGTAGCTGCAGTGGAAAACATTATGGTGGTCCCTCAAAAAATTACACATAGAATTATAATCCAGCAATTCCACTTCTGGGTCTATACTAAAAGTAATTGAAAGCAAGTTCTCGAGGAGATAATTATACACCCATGTTCATAGCAGCATTATTCACAATAGCTAAAAGTGACCCAAGAGACCATCAATAGATGCATAGATTAAAAAATATGGCATATACATACACTGGAATATTATTCAGTCTAAAAAGGCAGGAAATTCTGACGCATGCTACAACATGGATGAACCGTGAGGACATTTACATTAAGTAAAATAAACTAGTCACAAAACAGCAAATACTGTATGATCCCACTTATGTGAGGTGCACAGGGGAGCCGGATGCACAGAGACAGAAGTAGTATGGTCCCTGGGGCTTGGGAGAAGGGGGATTGGGAGTTGTTTAATGGTACAAAGTTTCAGTTTTGCAAGATGAAAAGAAAATCTGGGGATTGGTTGCACAACAGTAGGAATGTATTTAACACTTCTGAACAGTACATTTAAAAATGGGAGATAGTAAATGTTATTTTATGCATATTTCACCCCCGCATTCTTCAATATGCAGCTCTAAAACATGCCCGTGTTGTTTGCACAAGATACACAAAGTCATGCTTGCACCTAACAAAATTCACAATAATTCTTTAACATTGTCTTATGCTCAGTTCATAAGTGAATTTCCCCAATTATTTCAAAAGTGCTCCTTTTACAGCCGGTTTGTTCAAAAGATTCGTGTATCGCATTTGGTTGCCATGGCTCTCCATTCTTTTAACCTTGAATTCCTGCACTGCTGCCTGTCTCTCACACCACTGACTTGGAGAAATTGGGTCAGGTGTCCTGTAAAACTGCCCACACCCTGGATTTGTGTTTTTGCCTCTTTGTAGTATCATTTAAGTTGTTTTGCTTGTTCCCTCATTCCTCCTTCCCTGTACGGGGCAGTCAGCTCTAGGGGCACGGCTGGTATCTTGGCAGGAACAGCTGGTGGGACTCCGTGCTACGTACTGCATCCAGCAGGAGACACGCGATGTCCTGCTTCCAGTGATGCTAAGATTGATCATTGGTTTAGGTGAGGACAGCCTGACTCCTTCGTGGCCAAGTTCCTCAGAGGCCTTTCTCTCATCTACTGTGTTCATCCATTGACGACTGTTGTCCGAGTCAGTTATTTCCCCAGGAGTTGCAAAATGGTGATTTCCTAATCCTCTCATTCATTCCATATATTTCAGGCAGTGTTCTCCTGCCTGTTTTAACAGCCAGAGAACCTGCCTTATTCACAAGTCTTTGCTCTAAACAACTTAAGGCTATTTCCAAAATTCAAATTCATCCCTAAAAGACCTTGATTCTCTACCATTGAGGAAATTCCAAAAACCATGCTTTCGACTCTAAAAGCAAATCTAAGAGAAGAATTTTCCTATTTTTTTTTTTTTTTTTAAGACAGAGTCTTACTTTGTTGCCCAGGCTAGAGCGAGTGCAGTGACGTCAGCTTAGCTCACAGCAACCTCAAACTCCTGGGCTCAAGCAATCCTGCTGCCTCAGCCTCCCGAGTAGCTGGGACTACAGGCATGCGCCACCATGTCCGGCTAATTTTTTTTATATATTAGTTGGCCAATTAATTTCTTTCTATTTATAGTAGAGATGGCGTCTCGCTCTTGCTCAGGCTGGTTTGGAACTCCTGACCTTGAGCAATCCGCCCGCCTGGGCCTCCCAGAGTGCTAGGATTACAGGCGTGAGCCACCGCGCCCGGCCACAATTTAAAAAATGATTCCACCAGAGGTGACATTGTAGGTATATGTACCCAACTATCTGTGGTGCTGATCATTTGACCATATAACTTCTAAAAGTTCTGCTTAAAACAGAAATCAATTGCGTTGTTTTACCACCACACCCTCTTATATAGACACACACAAATGTTGCAAAACAGATCAAGAGTCAAGTCTTGATTTAATGCAGGACCTACTGCAGGTGGCATTCTTTCAAAAGCTTTTGTTCCTGGTTCCCGCCCCTGGACCACTCACCTCCAGCAAGGCTGGGTGGCCGTGGTGCCCTGGGGTCCTGCTCAGAGTTCCAGGAAGACAGTGGCCAGAACAATACACCTCTTGAGGCAGTCTCCTCCCTTCAAAAAGGAAGTTAAGAAGAAGGCTTTGAGGGAACCCTCCTTTCAACACCTCTCTTGCTCACAACCTTTCCTGGATCTGTCAGAGCGAGGCTGCTCTCTTCCCCACCTGCTATCACAGGAGGAGAGTGATTGCCCAGGGATCCCCTTCGGCTGAAAGGAAACAGGCTTCAGAACACCTCCTGCTGCAGCTGCCCTCACTTCTATTTGTCTACTTGACACTTCTTCGCTCATCTCCGAGCTGCTTGCTTGGGATTAGCTCGACTAAAAGGAAGGTGTCATTTTAGTTTTACTTAGGCTAAAAACAAAAAAAAAAATCAAACTCAGAAACAAATCAATTCCAAATCCCATAAAATCAGACATTGTGAGAGTTGGAAGGGATGTGTGGGAACACATCTAGGCCATGAGACTCAGAACTGTTGCTCTAAAAGGGACTTTTGAGAGCTTACAATCAATTCTCTATCAACGGATGTGGACGGGGGACAGAGTGACAGTGACTTGCCCAGGACCCTATGGCAACATTGGGACTTGATGCTAGGTCTCCTCAGCAGATCACGAACCCGCCCTCTGCACACTTTACACGTTAGGAGAAAGAGGTCCCAGGGGTGCCTGTGGTTTGTGCCAGGGGGGCGAGCGGGGCACTGTGAGCTCGTGTGGGCCAGGTTCCGTGCTAGGTGTGTCATCACACCACACTGCTTTCGGATTGAGTGAATGCGTCCTTAGTACTATTCTTTGTGTGCCACACAGCTGTTCCCACAGAGAAGTTCTTTTGGTGGTGTATATATTCAGCATTTTTTCATTGCAGCTAATTTATTTCCTAATGGGTAAAATTTACTCACTGTGCTTTTTATGAAGAATTTTGGCTCTGTCAAAATATTCACCATATGAAACAACAATCCCAGATTCCCCAAAGTATACCCTTCTCTTGTAATGTCAAGAGAGAAGAACATGAAACAGGGCGTCTGGAAACCCAGGGTCTAGCTCTGGCCCTTCACCCCCAGCCGAGTGGCCGTGGCCAAGCCCCATGGCCTTCAGCCGCCTCCGGTTTAGAATGAAGGGCTTGGACTAGTTTAGTGGTTTCCAAATGTGCTGACAACCCAGAGCCTCTGCTATTAAAGATTCCTTCAAACACCAGAGCCCTTGATTAATTAACAAGTTGTCTCCTTTCTTTGTAAAAATTAATCACATATAGCTATAATAGCTTTTGATCAGAATGATATGCTACATGGAGGGGATGTGCCTGCAGCCGCTCGTGAATGTTAAGGTGTGGCCCACGTGGCTTTGTCACAGGTAAATGGACAATCTCTCTCAGGTGATGAGAATGCTGAGCGCAGTTCTTAGATCTCCGTCACTCCTTCGATAGCAATGGAGATCTGTCCATAACCCACCCTGAGAAGTCTTGGGATCTACTGGGCTAAAAGACTTGCACAGTCCGTCTGGTTCCACAGCTCTTGAGGGGGTGAATCCTGCAAGCTTCCTCAGGGGTAAATATTTGAGGTTTCCCCTACCGGTCAAGCATCTTAAAGCCCATTTTTCAGAATGTGGCTTGCCATCTTCCTACTTCACACCAAAAGACTGGCGTGGTCTGG